GCGTTTTCGTTCCCATTTTGGAATGTCCCATCGCATTCACCTCCCATTCAGAATCATTGTGACGTTTGAATGCATAGGTGACCCATGAAAAGATTTGCACTGTCCAACCAATGTACACGTCAGTACCTCCATGTTCTCAGTTGAGTTTAGTACCACTCAGCTAGTCCAGAGTGATAGAAGGGTCGGTTAGCCTGGGCGAATATCACGCCGGGATTTGATCCCCGGACCACCGCCTGTAAGCGCTATCCCCTCTCAACATCTCCATACATACGCACTACATTTTCGCAAGCTGCTTCATTTTGAAAGCAGTGCTTAACGTGCAGCGTGTCCTCCAATGCTCAGTACTATTAAAAGTCATAACTCACGGCAAAAATTGTTTCTGAGACATTCCTCGCCTAGCCTTTTGTTCATGTACTGTCTTTTGCCTGTATCCGACAAGTCGGTTCCACGAGGTTGGCGTACCCGTGTGCCGAAGTTCCGACTTGGTCCAATGACACCTTCTCGGATGAGACACCTTGGCCAACAGGTGCGGGTACTGGCTGTCTGGATTCTTCTCTTCAAGGCTGCCAGTTCAGCTATTGCAATGTGTGTGGCCCAGTCTTCGTAAATGGGGTTTTTTCCACCTCTGCCCTAGAACGGATACTGGTATTCAGCGGGTTGTCACTGCTGGCTCAGCTCAGCTCGTTTTATCTTGGTCTTGGTTAGACTCTCCTGTAGTTGTACATCTGTGCTCAATTCCCTCTTTTGGCGCACTCAGATGAGTGTATAAATAAATAAATAAAAATTCCTCTAGGATGATTTTGCGGCCTTCCTGTATACTTTGTGTGGCGCTGCTAGATCGAGAAACGGTCGAGCCTTATAAGAGCTCAGAGATTGTGTCGACTGTATGCCACAACCAAAAAGGCGGAAGAGTTTCAGTGGCGTTGTAGAAGCCGTATCATTCACAAGGGACGCTAACGTTGGAAATGCAAACAACTAGTCGTGACATATGACAGCAGTGCATGATAGTTTCGAACATTTTTGGCTTGATGTAGTCAATTCTCTACGCCACTGCATCAACTGAAATCTCGTGCCGGAACCATTTCTATGCCGTTTCCGTCATATCAATCTCATAGAAACTCTACTTTCTACTAGAAACTAGAAAGTAGAGTTTGTATGAGATTGAAATGACGGAAATGGCATTGAAGTGGTTTCGGGACGAGATTTTAGTTGATTTACTTTTAGAAATCCTCCTTTTTCCGCTGAGTAAGCAGATTTCTTGCTTAATTCGCCAATGATACACTATTCGATACACGACATAGCGGCACATGCAGGAGAAGCATTTCACCCTTGAAACTCGACCAAAACTTATTGTTAGAAATGCTAAGTCTCCAGCAAACGCAGTGAAATCTAGCAGTGGATATTCCAAATGCGTGCCCTTTGTGGCAATGTAGGTGTTAGCGTTTCTATCCAACCAAACCAACTAACCCATCGGGCCGTAAAACACAATTTAACTGACAATGCAACTTTTACCTACTCGCTGCCAAAATAAGGTCACTCTATTCCTTTGTAAACATTACTAGTGCTAGCTGGAAACTAGCAATCACTGATCAACAAAGGACGAGTCTTATGTTCAATAGATGCAAAACAAAGCTGGTCTCCAGCAAACGCAGTGAAATCTAGCAGTGGATATTCCAAATGCGTGCCCTTTGTGGCGATGTAGGTGTTAGCGTTTCTATCCAACCAAACCAACTAACCCATCGGGCCGTAAAACACAATTTAACTGACAATGCAACTTTTACCTACTCGCTGCCAAAATAAGGTCACTCTATTCCTTTGTAAACATTACTAGTGCTAGCTGGAAACTAGCAATCACTGTTCAACAAAGGACGAATTTCATGCTCAATAGATGCAAAACAAAGCTGTCCTATTTCCCCTTTCCATCCACTACCACCCTCACTCTTTCCCTCTACATGCTCTGTATAACCC